CCACCAAATTTATAATTTTACATAATATAGGCTTCCCACTGCATTGAAAGCATAATGAAGACTGACTGATGAACGAAAATAGTGTACCTTCGTTTCAACAAAAAGAAGTACACTTCTGGACAAAGGGAGACTTTGGTCCCTTGAAATCCTTGGATTTCCATGGATCTGCACGCTTCTAATCGACCTATATGCTACAGCTACAAATATATGGGGTAGGTCTATGTTTAACAGTGTACGTCTTAATAATTGTGGCTGAAAATTATGATAGTTTTTAAGTGTTTTCTCCCTGCAAAATACACTAATATTTTTCACAGAAAATTACATTTCATAACTGCAACGTTCATATTGCGAGGTCGTCCAAGCGTAGATGCAAAAGTAATCGAAAACTAATTTCTAGCTCCATATTTTTCATCAAACGATCGAAGTAAATATTGGGATGTTATTAAAAAGTTTCAATTTTCCTGTTTGCGATAACGTAGATAATTGGAAATTCGAAATTTTTCTGCTATGGTTAAATTTTTTCTACGTATGGAACGTACCTATATTTTGACGAAGTATTTAACCATTTGACATGTATTTTATTCCAGATGGATATAAGCTTAGCTATGCTTATTATGTCAATTTGTACCTCCTTGATTAAACCCGGTTAAAGTTAAGATATTTCACTATATAATTTTTGTATGGTTAAATATCGATGCGGGTATTATCATTTTAATCACAACGAGAAAGATTTGCCTATATCTTAGTTTTTTTGGCGATAAACTTAGGTAAGTAAGATGGTGGCTAGCTAGGCGGACATAGAATAAGTCCTAGCGCAAAAATCAAGCTGTCACTGGGATTCAAACCTAGGACTTTTGGTTCTGAGACAGAATATGGTCAGAGTGGTACTCGCGCGCAGTAAAATAATTGACTTTATGCTCTGAATGATTCAGTGTGATGTCGAATCAGCGGACAAACTGGTTTTTGTGACATCGTCAATGATCATTGATAATATTTGGAAATACTATGTAAATTGTTTTAAATAAATAAATAAGTCCACGAGGAAGTCGCAATACGATACGGAGTTCATTATTTATTTAAACTTCTCTACGAGTAACTGCATTATACTTGATGTGACGTAGAATCTTATCTTAAGACAGTTCTCTAAAGTCAATCTTAAATCCCCGCAACGCTTCAAAGATCCTCAGTTGAGATAAGAAGACAACGAGAACGTTTTAAGTGGTTTCGCGGTATAATTAGTTCTAGCTTTGTATTTATGTACTTGGAAGTCTAGACAGCTGACTATTAGTTGAGACGAGTGCTTGAGGTCATGTATTGGCTAAATACATACAGGGTGGTCTAAATCAGAGGGATTTTTTTAATAAAAATTTTGAATTAGATTTTTATTGTATGCCTTTTATTATAATTTATTTCTTTAGTGTCGACACCGCCTTCCCCTTCATATTTGTTTCAAGTAACTGTCCTCACCATAGGTTGTCTGGAAGAGATCGCTTCATAGCGATAAGACCGCCTAATTGTACCTTGTGTGTTCCTTTTCTTCTGTTATGTTATTTGTTTGGTGTGCAATAAAGTGTATTTATTATTATTATTATTATTAATTAGGTATCGGATCCTGCCAGGAAAAGATCGCTTCTCATTCGGTTATGAGTTATGATTTTTACTTGAAAACATGGAATTAATAATATTGTCTGGACTACCCTGTATACTAACTCGGAGCTTGAAGAGGCGCTTGAGGAGTTAATGTTTACTTCACATGCAGCCTTCATTTCTAATTAATATTTTCTTTTTTATCCAAAAAAGAGGGGACTCTTAGCCTGCATCTCACCTGAATGTGATGATCAGGCCGAGATGGAAGGAAGCTTCTCTCGGAATTCTCAACCACAGAAGATTTGGCTATATTAACTCTAACTGTCGAAACACAACAATGATGTTAAGAAGACCTTTCACCCCAACTCGTGTATTTGTCTGTTACGTTTATAGCTGTAACTGCTGAAGTTTTTTCGCACGTTTTATAAATTTTGGATGTACTTAAAGATTAGATCCACGAATAGGACCTTTTTTGCAAACGATCCTAACTGAGCCAACAAAGTCAGTTGCTCTTATTTTAAGGTTTCTAATTTTAAAAAGAATAATTCCAGGCAATCAATTTTATTCTATATCCAAGACAGAAATATTTTTTATTTATTTATTTATTTTCCATATAAATACACACAGTAAGTAAACATTAATATTTTCTGCCAAACTGTGACACAGTTTGTCGGCAGCAGTTCTCACAATACTGTTATTACATAGCCTCTAAATAACATTATACGTATACATAGGTACAGACGACGGCACGCCATGTAAAACACTTAGGTTGAATTGCACCACCCAATTTTATTCTATCTCCAAGACAGAAAGAGAGAGAGAGAGAGAGAGAGAGAGAGAGAGAGAGAGAGAGAGAGAGAGACGGAACTTAATTTTATTTATGTGGAAAAAGTAGAACAACATCATGATTTTCAATCCAACCAGACCATTAACATTTTAATGTCCAAGCTTTTCGCAGTTCGCATGCTACTTCATACTAAACCGTGACCATAACGCGAGTAAAGCAAATTATTTAATTCAGCAAATGCGACAGTCTTGTTCGTTTATTTTACACAAAAATTACGTGGTTGAGTAAAATAAAAGGCGAAAGGTCGTGGGGAACGAGCATGCCAGACCGGTACCAATGCGTTCAGATTTTTACTTTTTTAAGATATCGCTCGCGTATCTCTTGGTACGGGTAGTGATGAACGATAGTATTTTGATCGCTTCTTAGTATATGTAGAACTAGATTTTGCTTGTGGCTTTACGTTCAGTTTGTTACAGAAAGTGGCTTATGCCCGTTTTCACCATTAATCCTTAATTTTTAAGTGACCTCTATGAAAACAAAATCCCTGTTATGTATTACCATAGGGGTCACTTAAAACTTAGCGATTGATGGTGAAAACTGACATTAGTTTAGATGTTTTTAACATGAGTGTGTCTCTCTTTCGAAAACCAGGATAACAACTATTGTTTGTTCTCTTGGTCTTAAAATATCTCTCTGAATTCTATGACTGTTTTACTAATAAACTTATTTTCCTTGTTGCAGGTCGAAAATACTGAAACCCACCAACAACCGTGATACCTGAACGTAAGTATTAATTGTAGAATTACCATACATTATGCGTACCCATTACCCATAGTCCTCGCCAGAAAATATCATATTTTCTAGAAAGTAAATCCTATAAAATTGACACTGAACTGTCTATGTATCCAGTGATTTGAATAAACTTATCTTAGTAGAGTGAAGTAAAAACATGGATATAATATCTGTTACGTATAAATCTCTGTGAGAGTCGATTTTTACTCCCCACACTTAAAAAATCGCGGACCATACGTGCCATTGGCTGCTAAATATTTAACTTTCACGAAACTAACGAAGCGTTAACCGTTAATCCTTGTTCATTCACCACAGTAACTATCCTTAAAGCTTTGTAAACGGGCTGTTAACAGTTGAGTTAGTTACGAGTTAAGGGCGTCGCACATTTATCAACCCGGAAAGGGATTTTTACCGTATCAACTCGAAGCGGTCTTTCTCTGTATGAAACTCCATACTGCAACGCATACTTTAAGGTTATAGCAGATATTATCAATCCGGAAAGGGATTAACACCATAGCGCCTTTTGCGAGCTGTCATCACCTTTCGGCTTTGTAGTCGATTCTCACAAAAAGGGCGAAATACATTAGGGCGAAATGCCTACTGCAATAATATTATTATTGAGAATAACGTTTCGCACATTCGTGGTAATCGACTACTAACCCCGCCTTTCGCGCGTTGCGTGGCGTTTACGTTACGGTGCGGATAAGTGTGGGATAAAGTATGGAGATTCATACAAAGAATACTGACCGCCTCGAGTTGATACGTTTACAATCCTTTCCGGGTTGATAAATGTGCTACGGCCTTTAAGCTCATAGCAGACTTATCAACTAAGAAAGGATTCAACACCGTATTGCCTTTCGGGAGCTGTCCTTGTCTTTCGTGCGCTACCATTGTCTTTCGCGCGTGGTCAATCGCGACGCGAGGCGTTTACGTTACGGTGCGGATAAGTGTGCGTTGCAATATGTAGAGTTTCATACAAAGAATACTGACTCGAGTTGATGCGGTGACGATCCCTTTCCAGGTCGATAAGTGTGCTACGTCCTTTAAACGCCTAAACCGTCATTAAGACTCACATCGCGTTTATCTACGAACTATTTGGCAAACTGCGCCATTGCAGTGAACGGACACGTGGAACGGGCTGAATAGACTAGCGTTTTTTCGACCAATTTAGAATAACGGTCATAGATTTAGGTTTCAAGTTATTTATTCGTAGTCTTTTTTTGGAGTATAAAACGTTCTAAATATTGGTTGCCCTATTGGTTTTGGTATTGCCATACTTATTGGTTACAAAAAATCCTTTATCATAGGTACATTCGCTTTCCATTTTAAGCGGGTGTAGCATAGCATAGACTTGATAAATAGAATTTAACTATTTCTACTATTTTGAATTTATCATTTAGCTCTAGTTTTAGATGTCTATAGTCTGTCAATGATATCAGTATAGAAGGATGGTATTTAGAAGTATCCTATAAGTATGAAAAATATTTTTTTTATCTAAAATGTGGATGAATATACACCTTGAGCAACTATAACTAACATAATATCGCTACGCTAATACAGGGTGTTGATTTTAATCCTCGCCATATTTAGGGAGTCGATTAAGTAGCTTATTCTGATCACGAATCAGTAAAAAATTGACTTAGAAAAAAATTAAAACGAACTTTAACTTTAGTTAGTCAAAGAAAAATACCTATTTACACTACCTACTTTGCGTGGCTTCCTTCAGGCTGTCCGACATGATAAGCGAGCGATCCGCGTAGCTCGATGATGCCGCAGTATTTCAAAAATAAACTTATTGCAGTATTTCGAGCCGCAGTACAGTTGATGTCGCACGGAAAATATTCGCCAAAAATTCCATTTTCGTTTGTAATTTTTTTTGTGGATAATGCGTCAAAGTCATAATAGATCAACTAAATAAATATGGCGAGGATTGAAATCAACACCCTGTATAGACACAAAATACTAACGTGTATTACGAATGATTGGCAGTTCATTAAAGCATCAATGAAATGTAACTTATTCGAAACAATATTATTGCCAATTTACTTTAATTCTAACTTACGACTTCTACAATTATTTACAGTGATCGTGGATTATGACCCTTAAAACTATCACATTTGAAATTGCTAAACATTTTTATACCTTCCACCTCTTTTTACAATTTTACACTTTAATTCCCTCCGAGCTTATCATTTTCAAACAAATGTAATTATAATTACTAATTTTACTAAACGAGATTAAAATAGCAATTCCTTACAAAATCACAAACCTCACTTCTGCGACAAGTCGAGTACTTATGCGACTAATCGCAAGTCTTTACTACACGAACTGCGCCGTGCCGGTGTCTTTCCAACAGCTGAAGCAGCAAGGCAGGGCGCACATGAGCGTGTTTTTAAACGCGTCCCGGAAGTCGCGGTTGAAGTACGCGTAGATGAGCGGGTTTAGAGCGGAGTTGAAGTAGCCGATCCAGAATAGTACGCCTACGACTACAGATGGCGTCTCACAAGGCTCGCCGCAGAGGTTCGTTGTCACATACCTGTGGAGAAAATGTAATTTTATTTCTGAAAGTAAAATCATTTTCTGGCAGAGATGAGTGATACAACGCCTTTTAAATCAAACTTCTGATGGGTACTTTCATCATCATCATCATCATTTCAGCCATAGGACTTCCACTGCTGAACATAGGCCTCCCCCAATGATTTCCACAATGGCCGGTTGGTGGCAGCCTGCATCCAGCGCCTTCCTGCTACCTTATAAGGTCGTCTACCTTTATAAGTACCCACGTGTTTTTTGCTAAATTCATTGACAAAAAAAAAACAATATAAAGTGCGTATTTGCTCTCTTCACCCCTATGAATCCAGTTTTAAATTAAAATTCTCGTGTTTTGCCTTTTAACTTTGTTGAAAGTCAATTTTTATCACTTTCCATATACAAAAGTGACTTGTAGGCCTAGGATGTGCGCCGCGATAAGTGGTTATCACGCCATTTTATCGACTTTGCCCATACATTTTGACGTCGATAAAGTATATCACGCCTCGCATCCTAGCCCGGCTGGTTTTAAAGGTAATCATCATTATCATCATCATTTCAGCCATAGGACGTCCACTGCTGAACATAGGCTTCCCCTAATGCTTTCCACGTTGATCGATTGGTAGCGGCCTGCGTCCAGCGCTTCCCTGCTACCTTCACGATGTCGTCGGTCCACCTTGTAGGTGGACGTCTCACGCTGCGCCTTCCGGTACGCGGCCTCCATTCCAGAACCTTGCTGCCCCATCGGCCGTCAGTTCTGCGTACTATGTGCCCTGCCCATTGCCACTTCAGCTTGCTAATCCGTCGGTAAAAGGTAATGAAACATGTGTACTCACCAAAGAAAAAATGGCAGCCAACACAGCAAAAACGCGCCAACTATGATGCCAAGTGTACGCGCCGCCTTATGCTCCGCGCGCCAAGATTTTCCCGCTGCACGCAGAGACGCGCCTGCAACAGGCGGGCGGTTTTTAAAACGCTTATAGTCAAATAAAAATAATAAAATAAATTCGTTTATCTCTATCTCTTCAAAGTAGGAAACATGCGTACTTAAATACAAAGGTCTTATTCTAGTAGTCTTAAGCCGGTATTCACAAACATTACTATGAGGTCTCACAGTGCGCGTGGACGCACAGGGTGACACACGAACCATCACAGAGCTCTATTCAGCGCTGTGCGTTCGATTTGCTGCTTCACATAAGCAAGCATCGTTTGTGAATGCGGGCATTAGCTTAGTTCCAATCACACTTGTGAGAGACTGGTGCCTGAAGTAGGTTTCAAAGAAACCTGTGACACAGGTCGCCAAAAATGTAGTTTAACAGTATTTATACGCTTTGCGTGATGGTTTATCGTCATCATCATAATTTCAGCCACAGGACTTCCACTGCTGAACATAGGCCTTCCCCAATGACCTCCACATCGCACAGTTGGCAGCGGTCTGCATTCAGCGCCTTCCTGCTACCTTTGTCAGACCGTTGGTCCACCTTGGACGTCCCACGCTGCGTTTTCCACTACGTGGCCTCCACTCCAGAACCTTACTGCCTCATCGGCCGTCAGTTCTGCGTACTATGTGCCCTGCCCATTGCCACTTCAGCTTGCTAATCTGTCGGGCAGTCAGTGACTTTATGTGAGATGGTTGCAGAAAAGTTCTCGAGTGGCGACCACGGGCCGGAAGACGTAGTGTGGGTAAGCCCCCCACTAGGTGGACCGATGATCTGATGAAGGTCGCGGGAAGTACCTGGATGTGGGCAGCGCAGGACCGGTCATTATGGAAATCCTAGGTTTTTATCTAGCAGTGGACGTCATTAGGGTAAAACGAACGCTTTGCGATTAGACAACTCTATCTTTGTACATTATTTTTTTCGAGAATATGAGTAAATATTATACTATAGCCTTGGATTGAATTAATTTCAATATTCAGAGTCTACATTTTAGACCAATAACAGGACAGAATTTTGAGGGCCGTTACGTAATACGGGTCCAATTAAAATGATTGCGATCTTAACTCAAAATTAACCTTGAGAACTTTGATAAGCATTAGCTTAAATCACCAAAGTTTTCATTGCTAACAATTTATTAAGTGGTTTTAGTATTACAGCTAAAATCACGAGGGTTATTATAACAAAAGATTTAAAGAATACTGTCTAAGTATTTCTAATAAAATTAGCGGGATCTATCCATTATACTTAATTTGATTATTATGTTAACTTATGCCGTCAATTAAGAAAATGGAGTTGTTACTTGAATGTCAACAAAGGACATTGTCAGAAACCGCCTAAAAACCGCCCAAAAACATTAACCCATCATAATTATTTTCTATTTTTTTTAATACATTAAGCACCCTTTCATTCTAATGGACACTTAAGCATTGAAAAATTAAATAAATAAGTCTTTTAACGTTTATTCTATAATACTATTACAACTTCCGGACGTTTTGGTGCGTGGCATGGTCTAAAACCTATCAAGTTCCATAATTTTTGCCGATAAAATCTGTACGAGGCATTACCGTACTTTATTGCTGGGAGTCCATGTATAGTGATGTTCCTGCGGCCATCATAGACAATAAAATATCGATTTTGAAAATAAAATAAATCGATTAAACTGCTTTGAAGACTAGATTTGCGTTAAAAGCTAAAAAGATATTGACANTCATTAGTACCACTTAGACAGTGTATTCTTTATTAAGGATTAACATAAACATTTTAAAAAATAAGAAGGATTTAGAAAATAATGATTGTTTACTCACCCGCTCGCCTTAGCCTTTTTGCTAAGACTTAAAACAATTAACGCTTCTCAAAAAATAATGACTTGTTGGATTGAAGTGAAGCTTGACACATCAAAGCTGTTAACGCTATCAGTGTTGCTAATATTAGATATTTTTATTCCCGTAAACCATAGAGTAATATATTAGTCTTTGCCTTAGTTATAACGATTTGAAGTTCTAAATGGCCACAAAGGGGTCGGTGGCCACAACCGGGTCACTTGCCCTATTGAGGGTTTTGATAGTGAACTTGACCTCTATTCGGAAAATTGACTTATGCCCGTTTTCACCATTAATCCCTAATTTTTAAGTGAACCTTATGGTAACATTTAACAGGAATTTTGTGTTCATAGGGTTCACTTAAAAATTAGGGATTGATGGTGAAAACGGGATTAAGTGATAACTTTTAAGTTATCACATCTCATATCTGATTACTTTCATTGTAACCTACCTAAGTGTTTGACTTTCTCAATCCACCAATATTACATGCGTGTATTCTTATAAAATTATTTTCTTTAGATTTCTATCGAACGGAGGCAACATTGATTATTTTACTGGCTACTGTTTGAACAGTGAAAATCTATGAAAAATGTATTCCAAAACCTTTCCAGTCCTGTGAAACCAAATGTAGCTTACTGACAGTAATTCTATCAAAATCTTTTCAGGAATAGGTACGTAAAACTAACCGTTATTTAATATTAATGTTTTTATTCTACAAGGTTCCCTACGACTACATCCCAATAGGGCGCCGGAGCCATGTTGAAACGGAGTTGTCCCAGCACCCTTCTGACGTCAACCTGATATACGAGAAGCTGTTCCCTTCGAGGAGGAAGTGGAGGGATGGCTTGGTTGTCTGATGACCAGTTTTTTGAGAAATAAACCTTTGAATAATACCATTTCTAGTCTCCTTAGTTAGTTTTGCAGGGCAGTCGAATCGCACTTAGCCTCTTGATTGCCCAATGGCCCCATTGTGCGCAATATTTTATAGTCTCTTAAGAAGACAGGCTAAGTTACACTACCTAACTTTAACCGTAACTATAACTTTTTTTATGCAAGACAAGGCAGGTATTGACCGCAATCGCACCTGTTAAGTGAGATGCAGTCTAGGATGGTACATATCTGCCCTGTAAGTGCCTATTCACTCTCGCCTAGAAAGGGCCCGGATTATAGTGTTTAGGAAATACAGCAGCAGGCAGCGAATTCCAGTCCCTAGCTGTTCGCATTTTAAAAGAGTATTTGTCTTTCGTGATTAACTTTAAACGTGGTTAAACCATTTACTGTGACATCAACCTGATTTTTAGGAAAACTTTTATAATTCGATTTTATTAAGTCTCTTAAGAACATAATCTTTGGTTATAAATAAAACAAGGTATCGACAGCAAGCACACTTCACACTTTAATAAATTACAATAACAAATTAAATATAACCAACTACATAAGCCAATCATTTAACACAGAAAATCCAGTAATATAAAAATAAAAGAATTAATCTAAAAATAGGCAACATCATACAATTAAAATTTGAGTTAGTGGGATAACTAGTCTAAATTTACAAATCGGGCCAAGAAAAGTGACGCCAAAGAGTTTTCGTCGGGTATTCAAGAATTCATGCCAGGTCTGTGGTTGTAGGTAGCTAGATGGTGGAGAGGTTCACTGCGGTGCTAAGAGCTACGAGCATCTGAAAAAGATTTTTTATTTTTTGAAAGTTAGCATTTGTGAAAAGAACATTTAAAAACCTACGTGTAAATATTATTTGAGTAAGTAGCTACAACATAAATTAAATTTAGAAGACACAGCTTCACACAATTTGTAGGTACAACCAAATTTTGAAAACATTAGTATGAATTACTTGCTCTGTGAAACCCGGGACAAACTTGGCCTTCACTGGATGGGTTTTTATTAGCGGTCAAGCTGTAGATCCTGGCTATACAGAAGTTGTAGCGGAGGGAACGGGAGTGGGAATAGTCCCGTTGTTCTGTGAATCTCACCTTAACCATCAATGTCCCTCGTGAGGATTTACTGACGCTATACTTGTGGGTGGAGTTACTGACGCTAATACGGGGGAGGGCACGGGAGCAGCTAACTCCGCGTAGTGAACCCCTAGTTTTAAAAACGGATAGTTTGAAAGAGCGGACTCTTCTAACGTAGTGAAGAACAACAGTGGAATAAAAGGGTTGCGTTACTTGGCAGCGAGCGAACGCAGCGTCAACGCTGCCCAAGTGCTGGCAAGACGAAGATGCTCGAAAGACGCTAGTGTGAATTTCATCTTAGCCCTCAAGGCTTGTGGAGTTACTGTGAACTGGGGCCGCTAACTTGGCGTAGATGCGTAGTGTAGTTCGCGCTTTGTAATTTTGAAAACGGCTAGTTCGAAAGAATGGACTCATCTAACGTAGGTAGTGTGCTCTGTGAATCACACTTACCGACGGATTAGCAGCAAGCTGAAATCGCAAGGGACAGAGCATTGTAGCTCGCAAAACTGACGGCCGATGGGATAGCAAGGTTCTGGAATGGGGGTCATATACCGGCAAGTGCAACGTAGGACGTTCATCCACAATACGACCTCATAAAGTTAGCAGGAAGGCGCTGGACGCACAATCTCGAAATCATTGGGGGAAGTCTATGTTTAGCAGTGGACGTCATGTGGCTGATATGATAACGAATTTCACCTTAGCCCTCAGTGCCCCTCAGGCCTTGTGGTGTTACTGTGAACTGGGACCGCTAACTCGGCGTGGATGCCAGTGTGTAATTTTGAAAACCGCTAGTTCGAAAGAGTGGAGTCTTGTATCGTGTAGGATAGCTCTGTGAATCTCACCGTAGTCCTCAGTGTCCCTCGACCCTTGTGGTGTTACTGTGAAGCGTCTTGTAACGTGTAAGGTAGCTCTGTGAATCTCACCTTAGCCCTGCGTCCCTCAAGCCTTGTGGAGTTACTGTGAAGCGGTGCGCAGGAGGGTGGCCACGACCTCCTGCTCGTTGACGTGGGAGGGGACGGGAGCAGAGTTTTAAAAACGAATAGTTCGAAAGAGCGGACCCTTCTAACGGTGACAAAGGGACCCTTCCACACTAATGCAACAGCATAATGAGGGGGTTGCGTTACTTGGCAGCGAGCGAACGCATCGTCAACGCTGCCCGAGCGCTGGCAAGACGAAGATGCACGAAGTTTGAATCTCACCTTAGCCCTGCGTCCCTCAAG